TAATGTGCCGTAATATTGTAGAAGTGTGAGTCGATTAGTAAGCTGGGTCGGCGGGAAATACTTTGTTCTGAAGTGTGCTAATTCATTACGTGATATTAGACACTTGACGAGAGATTCTAGACTAAAACGGGAGTAGCCCACAGGGCTATGTTGACATACCCGAATCACGCTGACCTTTCAGAACAGTCCTTGTATTATTTTCTGCCAGAAATATTGTGTCAGCGACTGCCTGCATCTCTTTTCGTGATTCTTGGCATCCCGACTATACGGTTCTGTGGCAAACAGTGCGCTTATGACAGATGAACTTAGTGGAAGCCATCCACTCGTCTTTTTTTTCGAAGGCTTGTCTAGAAAACATCTATCTTTCAAAGCCTCTTCCTCTCGCTTCCTTAGTTTCTTCTCCGCTGTTCTTACGTTTCTTGCTACTCTCTAGTCAATATCCAGCCAGAAGAAGCCAGTCAGCTGGAGGACACAGTGTTCGATAGTGACTTCTTCACAATGTTATTAACAGCCCAAATACCCGAGTCACTAACTCCCTTCTCGATTTCCCATGGTTCTCTCTCGGTATCATGGCTGCTGCCATACCGTCTGCACTGCTACGCTACTCGGCTGTACAGAACTTTCGAAGCCACTCTAGCTGCCAGGAGCGACAACTCAGAGCACCCCATCACACTGTTGTCCTCAGTAGAGCTAGCCGCACACTACATGTGTTATGTCGCACACGAGACCCAAGCCAATACAGATAGAGCTTGCACCCAAACCCATGATATCTCTAAGTTACTTTTGGAGGACTTCGAGGCCACGTTTCTCCGATCGAATGACATCCATACTCTAGCATCGGCTCTTCCTAGTAGCGATTCTGCGAAAGACGAGCTCCTTCGCTGTTACTATGAAACATGTTTCATCACGAAACATAACACACCGCTCAACGAGTCTGCCCTATTGAAGGCCGCTCGCGAAGGTATTGTTTCCTTGTATACTACTTTCAGCGGGCAGGGTTGTGGTGGACGATACTTCGACGAACTTAGAGAGCTGTTCCGACTTTATCCATCTTTCGTGGGAACTCTCATATCAGAGTCCGGGAACCTGTTTCGAGAACTTGCCAGCAACCCTAGCGCTGGCAGGCTGTTCAGCAAAGGATTCGACATCATGGCTTGGCTGCACCACCCGCAAACTACACCAGACACCGAATATCTCATTTCCGCACCAGTCAGCTTTCCAATAATCGGTCTAGTTCAGCTTGGACACTATGCTGTGTCCTGCAGGGCTATGGGGCTAGACCCTGGTGCCTTCCAAAGGAGCATTCGTGGAAGTACAGGCCACTCACAAGGCATTGTGGTTGCGGCGGCTATGTCTGCAGCGGATTCATGGGAAGCATTTGACCGGTTGGCCACATCTTGCCTCACAGTGCTGTTCTGGATTGGTGTTAGAAGTCAGCAAGCAGCGCCTCAGATGTCACTATCGCCAGCCCAGATACAAGATTCCATTG